GCCCGATCTGCTCCAAGCCGCGCCGCCAGCCAAGTTCCTCGACCCGCCGACCGGAGCCGCCTCCTTGCTGTCCGCGTCGACCGATGCCACCTGCCTCCTCTACTTCGAACACACGCGCATCTGCCTCCCTCGCCTCGCAAGCCTCATCGCGGGTCAACCGCGCCGCTGCCCATGGCCTGCACCAACCTCCTCTGTCGCCGCCAAGTTCCACCACCGCCGGATATGGAGTCCGCCTTTTAGATCCGCGAGCCCCTGCACGCCGACGTCTTCCCCAGTGAGGAGCCATCTGGACTCCTCCCACTCGTCTGCACGACAGGAGGCTTCTCTGCTCGTCCTCGTGTTCACCTCGCTCAGCCTCTGCCTGGCTCAGTCGTGGTGCCTCGTCCTATTGTCGCTGCCTCCCTTGCACCCTTACCGAGCAGGAGCACTTTGGATTCGCCAAGTACGACTACACGGTGACGCGTCAAGTACCTTTACCGCTGTCTTCGGAATCCCAAGAATGCCAAGTACCTCGACGCCCGACGCCTAGAACGACTATAGTCGCCGAAGACCCATGAACCAAAAACGTCAAGTTCGACTACCATCCCGTGCATTGCACCAAGTACCACGACATTGTCGGCCCTACAAGTTCAACTATGGTTGCCGTGTACGAATACCGTCGACCCTCGAAGACCCCATGGACCCCGAACATCTACGGGACATGAACGACGACTTCCTCTTTGACTCGTGAACCACTACTTCCACTACGACCCGCGAGTACCCCTACTTCCATTAACGAACTCGTTCCGCCTCAAAAGGCATGCTTCGAAGTATAACCCCGAGACAAATCCCGTGAACAAATGCCTGTTGTATGAGATGCTCATGTTCGAACCGTGTCCGAGTTGTCATTGCACGTTCCTCCTCGGTTGCCAAGCCGTCGACCCATGGGGAACCCGGTAACCGGGATCACCCAACCATCTTTTGCATGTTCCGTACATCCACACTTTCCTTTGCACCGACATCTCGACGAGTTGTCGGATCACCGTAATGTTGTTGTGGCACCATTTCCATTGTAGTTGGCGTGGCACCCCTTTTGTTCCGCCATGGTGACCAAATCCTTCATAACATGCTCATGTCAACATTTTCTTAAAATGGCATAAAACTTGCATATGTCATCCGCATCATGATAACAATATTTAAAATGTTTAAAATTGTTGTTTTCTTTAAATTGCTAAATAACATATGGGGATTTTCCGGAATTGTTGTTTGTTATTTCCAGCCTCATTTAAATTGCCTAGCTAGGTAGTTTTATTATGCTTCACCTCTTGCCATGTTTAACAACATTTAATATTGTTGAGTATCTTAAATGAGATGAACTAAATAATTGTGTGAAGTTTCGTAAATATGCAACCTGTAGTGTGGTTTGTTGCACTTTGCCATGCCATGCCTCATTAAAATGGACATGCATCATACTTGATTGTGCATCATGCCATATTTATGCTTGTTAGTTTACCATGTTGTTTGCTTGTTTCTGGTGTTGCTTCTTTTTGATAGTTCCAGTAATGTTGCGATTGTGAGGATTCGTTCGACTACACCCGTTCGTCTTCTTCATGGACTCGTTCTTCTTCCTAGCAGGATTTTAGGCAAGATGACCGTTACCCTGGATCTCACTAGAATCATTGCTATGTTAGTTGCTTCGTTCTATCGCTATGATGCGCTACCTATCGCTTGCTTATCAAGCCTCCCAAATTGCCATGTCAGCCTCTAACCTTTTCACCCTTCCCAGCAAACCATTGTTTGGCTATGTTACCGCTTTTGGTCGGCCCCTCTTATAGCGTTGTTAGTTGCAGGTGAAGTTGAAGATTGCTCCATGTTGAGACAAGATTATTTTGGGATATCACAATATCTCTTATTTAATTAATGCATCTATATACTTGGTAAAGGATGGAAGGCTCGGCCTTATGCCTGGTGTTTTGTTCCACTCTTGCCACACTAGTTTCCGTCATACCGGTGTTATGTTCCTTGATTTTGCGTCCCTAACATGGTGTGGTTTTATGGGCCCCTCTTGACAGTTCGCTTTGAATAAAACTCTTCCAGCAAGGCCCAACATTGGTTTTAACATTTGCCATGATAATATTTAAACTAAATAATTAATTGGCATAGGGCGTCATGAACCCGAGGATTCTTTTCTACATAGCAGGGAGGGGCCAGTGCTGATGGTGTTGGTCCCAAGCTAGAGCACTATGCGGGGCCGCCCCAGGGCAACCTAAGTTATTTTGGCACCTGTACACGTAACTCATCCATCGTGGCCTGAGATGAGATATGTGCGTCTACTATCAGAATGTCGGCACGTCGGGAGGTTTTGCTGGATTAGTTTTACCATTGTCGAAATGTCTTGTCCACCGGGACCCCGAGTCTGATCGGATGTCCCGCGATGGAGGATTGTCTCCGTGGATCGTGAGCTTGTCATGGGCTAAGTTGGGACACCCCTGCAGGGTTTAAATTTGGAAAGCCATGCCTGCGGTTATGTGGTAGATGGGAGTTTGTTAATATCCGGTTGTAGAGAACTTGACACCAGATTCGAATTAAAATACACCAACCGCGTGTGTAACCGTGATGGTCTCTTTTCGAGTGGGTCGAGAAGAGAACACGGTGGGGTTATGTTTGAACGTAAGTAGTTCAGGATGACTTCTTGATCATTACTAGTTTGCGACCGTTTGCCTAGCTTCTCATCTTATTCTTGTACTCATAAGTTAGCCATCATATCATGCTTAGTCGCTTGTTGCAGCCTCACCAATTATCCATTCCATGCCCATTAAGCTTTGCTAGTCTTGATACCCATGGTTATGGGATTGCTGAGTCCTCGTGGCTCACGGATTACTACAACAAAAATTGCAGGTACATGTAATGCGATGATCATGACATGAGAGTGATGCTTGCTTGTTTTGAGTTCTTCTTCTGCTTTGTCGTTCAGGGGATAGGTTCCTGGTCGACAGCCTAGGCTAGCAAGGTGGATGTCGATTGAGTTTCTGTTTGTGTTTTATCCATAGTCGGATGTTGCTCTTATGTATGATGTTGTTGTATTCATGTGACATTGTATGCACTTTGTATGTATCCACAAATATTATGTAATGGTACGATGTAATGATATCCACCTTGCAAAAGCGTCTCCAATATGCGCTTCTATCCTTGGTGGGACCTTCGAGTTCCTTTAGGATAGGGTCGCATATTGGGTGTGACAGCTGTTGACAAACCTGTTGAAATGGTCACAAGGCTCTCTGGCCATGCATTAGTGGTAGATGAGGACATGGTGGCGCACACACAACTAGGCGATGGCAACCTAATCTATGTTGGGACTACCTGCAGTGTACTGGAGGTCGATGCCGACCACCTTGTACTTGTCTCCAGCAAGCAACTGCTCAACGATGTTGATGTAGTCGTCTACCACGACCGGGTCGATGGTGTACACCACCTAGAGATCCGTCTCCCTCATGTGGGTCTCCACTTTATACTCGCCGAACTCCATTGGAGTGCCACTAGACATCCCCTCTTTATGTGTCATCGTCGGTGTGCTTGTTGTGTTGTGGGGCGCGATCGAAAGGTTGAAGAGACTAAGGTTATAATGGCTGCGGGAATTAAAGGGTAGGCCGGAAGGCACGTCCTGATGGTAGTTTTAATTCCCGACGCCTAGAACGACTACCGTCGTCGAAGACCCATGAACTAAAAACATCAAGTTCGACTACCATCCCGTGCATTGCACCAAGTACCACGACATTGTCGGCCCTACAAGTTCAACTATGGTTGCCGTGTATGAATACCATCGACCCTCGAAGACCCCGTGGACCCCGAACATCTACGGGACATGAACGACGACTTCCTCTTCGACTCGTGAACCACTACTTCCACTACGACCAGCGAGTACCCCTACTTCCATTGACAAACCCGTTCCGCCTCGAAAGGCATGCTTCGAAGTATAACCCCGAGACGAATCCCGTGAACAAATGCCTGTTGTATGAGATGCTCATGTTAGAACCGTGTCCGAGTTGTCATTGCACGTTCCTCCTCGGTTGCCAAGCCGTCGACCCATGGGGAACCCAGTAACCGGGACCACCCAACCATCTTTTGCATGTTCCGTACATCCACACTTTCCTTTGCACCGACATCTCTACGAGTTGTCGGATCACCGTAATGTTGTCCTGGCACCATTTAAAACAAAAAAGAGACTAGCCAACTCACCTCCAGGAGGTTCCCCCGATTGGAGCTTCGTCGGCCGTCCGATCTGCCTTTCTGGCACGCTTGAGCCGTTGGATCTTCACTTGCGGTTAAATTATTTTCACCTCACGGTTCATTTTTCTGCCCAATGACTGGTGGGCTCGTCTCGTGACTGGTGGGCTCATCTCGTGTCTGTATTGGCTGGGTAAGCGGCGCCCGGGTGAGAGAGAATTTGTCCCATCTGCATGCCGCGCCCGCACCCAACGCAACCCAATCCCCTCGTCCCGCACGCCGTGCACACTTCGGTCCCCTCATCCCGCACGAACCCTAGGAGAGAGAGATAGGATGATGAGAGGGAGAGAAAGGGGAGATGAGAGGAGAGGAAGGTCCGGCAGCGGACGGGAGAGGGTGACCGGCCGGCGTCGGCCTACACCGGCGAGGCGTCGGCCTGCGCCCCTCCTCGCGCACGAACCCTAGCTTGAGAGACAAAATGAGGGGGAGAGAGAGAAGGAAGGAGAGGAGGGAGAAAAAGAGAGGAAAGATGAAAGGGAGGTGCGGCGGCTGACAGGAGAGAGGGTCATCGGCCAGCGCCGGAGAGGACGGGCCCGACCTGGACGCGACTTGTTTCCCTAAATCATGCCTTTTGTGTTGCAGTCTAATTTCAATCGATTCGTCTCCTTCCTCACGCCTCGGAGCACGCTGCAGCCTGCAGGCGGAGTGGCAGCTAGGGTTGAGGCGGAGGGCGGAGCTCCGCCAAAGATCCGACCCCCTCGCACGCGGCACAACCAAACCCTAACCGCCTGATCCCAATGCGCAGGTGAGCCGCCTGCTTCCGGCGGCAATCCGCCCCCAATTCCTTTCCCGTGTTTTTTCCCCATTGTGCTCTACTTCCTGCTGCTGATTTGATTGGCTCGCAGGGACCTCGGCAGCGAGGCATTAGTGCGCCGGCACCGCGCACGGGCGCAGCTGTGGGTCGCGGTCGCGGCGCTTACCGGCACCATCTGGCTCTTGTCCTCTTCCTCCGTTGTCCTCTTCGGCACCCACAGGGTCCAGGTGATTTAGTTGTGTGATGTTTGTTCTGCTTGGCGTTTTAGGGAAGGCCGATAGCAATGCCATGAGAGTTAAAGTGAAGGCTAAGATGCTATGGCTATGCAGGTGTCGGTGCTATATAACCAAGGCACTTCACAGAGCAAATCTCTAATGGAACTTTTAAAACAAGTTAATAATATTTAACAAATACAGACTCCTTGGTAAAGAGGTCGAAAGCAAGATGGTAAACTGTATCCAATGCAGAACCACCTAATATGGGTACAAAGTATTACTACCGATAGGCTTATTACCTGCAGACAGTGGCAAGTTGCGATAGTTCTTTCCAAAATTGTGTAAGATCCAACTTCTCCATAACTATTAGTTTGCTTAATCAGCACCCAAGGATGTAACTTAATGTTCCTATGGAAATTTGAGAAATGTAAACAATCAGTTTACTGCATTATATATAGTACTCACTCCGTATCACAATATAAGATGTTTTTGCAAGCAAAAACAACTTGCAGAAACATCTTATATTGTGGGAGGGAGTAGGCCTGTAAACATTGAAATCATGCTGGCTGCCAGATTACGACATAAATATAAGGACATTTATAAAATTGACAACTAACACATGATGTTTCATAACCTCAAGTTTTGCCAGCTGTGGGCTGTTAGGGAATTGATGCATCACCACTGCTTATTAATCCTAATGAAAAAGACTAGAGTAAGAAAATTGATAAATAAATATTAAAATTAAGCCAGCACAAAGTATGGTCCTATCCATCATGTTCTGCGACATAATATTTGATGGATAAGAAATAATGTTACTCCGAAAAAGAAATGCACCAATTTTCTTAGATAAATTTTTGGTGCATCACTTATATTATCAGTTTCAATTCATTTGACATATAGATTAGTTTATGCTAAATGTATGGAATTGAATTGGATATACAATGGTCATTTAATTTTTTACCAAATTATATCTTGTACTGACATGAGTGCTACTACTCAAGGATTTTGTTGTAGATGAGTTGTGGAGAACTGCAGATTCAAATGGTTGGAGAGCATCTTTTGCACCACACACCTATTGGCCTCGTGAGTTCTTCTCTGTATCCTCCCAGAACCAGAAGTTACTGGTCCAGTCTTATGCCATTCTGTGTGATGGCAAAATGAAATTCTGAAATGCAATTTCTCTACTTGCAGCCCCACCAACTGAATCCGAGAGCAATGGGTACTTGCGTGTCCGATGCAATGGTGGCTTGTCCCAACAACGAAGTGCAGTATGATTAACATATGAAACTTTGTCTCTAAAGTAGCATAGTTCATCATTCAAGTTTTATGTGTTCATGGCAACATAGCTGAGAGATTTAAGGTTACTGCTGCTTTGCTTTTGCAGATATGTAATGCTGGCGCTCTATCCATGGATTCCGGCATTAGCTCGAAACGCTCAGGTGGGCAATTAGAAACCCTTCTATTTATATATTTTAGGACAGCTAATGGATAAATCTCGATTTGAATTGTTAGTTGCAAATTTGTTCTTTTGCTCATGATGTGATTTCTTTTGCTAGGACAAATTAGGTCTCGGCCAATGGTGGAGAAGACGGAGTACAGGGATGAGCCGCTCGAGCACGGTTTGATGGGATGTTCGCGCGCAAGATGCAGAAGTTCGCTAGAAGGAAAAAGAGCTGGGCGTCGAGGAGGAGAAGAAGGTGGTATGCAAGGTGCTTGCAGGCCCAGCAGCAGGAGGCCGTCCTTGAGGTGCTCCTCTGGATGGTTCATTCCGGCGCTGGGCCTACGTGTTCAATGCTGCCCTCACCATCCCCTTCTTCCATTGGCTCATCGGCCCGTCAGAGTTCAAAGATCTAATACTCCGCACTGCCTCCTGTCCATTTTCAGATATATATATTTATATAAGGTTTATCGTCACCCCATGTATCATATGTTGTTGATCGACCAGGTTATTGAGGTGGAGGTCAACGGGGTGAGGCAGAGAAGTGGAGTGCTCATAAAGAAACGAAGGTATGTATGAATATGATGGATGCTTCCATTGCCAACTAATGAAATGCATGTCTCATGATCGCGCAGCAGCTGCCTGGACTCGCTGCTGCCGCCGCCTCAGTCGCTTCCGCCTAGGCATCCCGTCGCTAGCAAGGTAATTTTGTTCCGGTCCCAGCTGTCCTCCTATCCTCCGTGCTTGATTGCTACAGGTTCTTGTTATGTGTGTGCTTGCTGACTTAGTGTTGTGTGTGTCCGGGCACCCATTGTATTTTTTTTGCTGGCTTGCCGTTGCGTGCATGATTGTTGTGGCTGGCTTGGTGGTAGCATCATATATACTTGGTCGTAGCGCTCACTTGCTAGCTACAAGTTCTTGTTGTGTGTTTGGTTACTACTGGCTTAGTTATGTGTATGTGTCTGGGCACCTGTTGTGTTATTTTGCTGGCTTGCTGCTGCGTGCATGATTGTTGTGACTGGGCTCTGGTTGTTCGGTGTTGGGCTGTTGATGGCATGCGACCTGCTTCAAAAAAAGGAAAGAAAGCAAGCATTTGTTTATAGAACAAATATATTGAAAAAAATTCCATGGAAAGCGTGCATATTTAGCAAGGAAAAGGAGTCTAGAGAGCCTTAGATTCTAGTTAAGTGTTGATTTGCAAAATTTCTGCAGCTATATATTTGCTCAATCCAAAAGACATATTTTACTCAACCTTCAGTATAATGTATTTCTAATTGTTCATAACTCCTGAAATTTTTGTTATGATTTTGCAAGATTTCGAAATTATTGTATTTCAAAATTGTTATACTGATTCCTCGATGCTCTGTTCATGGCTTTGTTCTTATTTTATCCTTCTCTCTTTGCTTTTTTTCTTTCCTACAAGAAGATGCCGAGTCATGTAATATGTTCAAAGAAGAGAGAACCTGCATTTTATGAATGCTTTCTTCTTTCTTCATTGTTACTTAAAGTTAGTGAATTCAGTTAAGTTGTATTGAACAGCTTCATACGCATGGTTTCTCCATCTACACATCTTACTCAGTCACGAGGCCATTAAGATCTTTTGCCTTCTATAAAAAGGGAGATGCCATTTAGACCTTACTCTGTCCAACTTGATATTTAAATTTTTTTTAGGAAAGGCCATCATGGCTAGCTTTATTGAATTAAAACATGCTTACATCATCCAACTTGATCTTTAACTTGCTACTACTGTTTCTAAGCATTTTCCCAAGCATTGTTTTATTTGCTTAAGAGAATGAGCTCACCTTATTCAGTGGGTGTGCCAAGTAAAAAAAAAAGAAACTAAGCAATTAGTTCCACTCTTAAATTTTGTACAGCAGTCCAAATTACCAATAAATCATTTGTTAGCAGGGTCAAATTATAGAAGTTGAATCAGTTGTTCCAAATTACCCAGCGAGACTTATTCCATTTGTTTATCCTTTTGGCCTTTTAATCAAGAACAATGTCCAGAGCTTACATAGTTGTCAAAATTTAGTTCTGTAAAAGAGGAATATTGATATAATGCAATGATCAGTGCAGATTAGGATAGTTATAGAGTTCTTCCTCAGTTTTCACTGAGCAAAGATTGAATCTGTGTGATTTGTTCTAATACCAAGTAAATCTTGGTCTGCATTTGTTACACATGTTTTGGTCCTCGAAAACATTATTAACCCATAATGTAAATAACTCTGATGTATGATGATTTTCAGTGAGATATCCTTTTATCTCCAGGCATTTCTTTCATATAGTGGATATACAAAATAAACTGTATGATCTGGTTTGTAGGAGCAACTGTTGCTATTGGGACTGGTGCTTGTGTAGTTGTTGCAGCTGTTCTTGAGGGCCGAGCTGAACATATTTGAAAAAGGTTTGTGCTTTATCTTTTTTTTTCTTTCGACGACAAAATAACTTCTCGTTTCGAAATATTTAGTGCGTCGTCATGGCCTTTCTTAAGGGTGTTCAGGCATTTTTTCTCCTGTAAATTAGTGGTCTTTTATTTGTGTTGCAAACCCCAATATGGCATCTCGCCATTCCCCACGATCCACATGTTAACTATGGATTTATTTAATGATAATATGATATCAACTGCATTTTCTTCAGGATATTCTGACACCTAATAAGGATCAAGAAAACAACAAAGATGCTAAGAGGCAACCTTTTGGGGTTAATGATATAAACAACAACAGGGCTTATGAGACCGAAGAGAGCTCAAGTGGTGTCTTTTGATTCTTGAAGGCCTGCACTTTCCTGGTGGAGTAGCAACAAAATAATTCAGAGGCTTTAAAGCTAATGCACTTCACGTAGTTAGGATCAATTCTTTGTTTCGGTTTGAAATACTCCCCAGTTCCTCCTATTTGATTGAGTCATCTGATGGACATTTTGTCAGGCAAATATTAGGCAAAGGATATGTACCTTTTTTTTAATATAGAAGGGTCTAATTCTTATCGTGTGTACTTGCTCAAACAAAAGATTATTGAAAATATGTATATTTTCAACCCGATGTGGTTTTGAATTAGACTCCACGCTACCAAAGTAAAATGTGCATGTACATCTTATTGTAGACAACAAACCTATATTAACTGAAGGGGATTAAATTTGTTACTGATTTTTATCGAGAGAGACAACATTTCAAAACACTTCTATCTTCATTTTTCATACCAACGAATTTTTTTTGTTTCGGCTTTCACTCTATGCTATTAAAATAAATCAACTATTTTAAGATAAACCGACTATATTATATCTTTTTTCCTTAGGTTTCTTATCTTTTCCCCTCTTTTTTCCAAAAAATATATGCATGCCCAAGTTTTTCATCATGATAACCATGTTTTCAAACTTGCTAAAAAAATACAACCATGCCAACTTTGCTTTCTCATCATACTGCATGTTTTCAAACTTGCTAAAAAATACGGCCAAGCCAGCTTTACTCTCTCATCATCCCAAGAAATATATGCATGCACAAATTTATCATCATGATAACCATTATTTCAAACTTGCTAAAAAAATACAACCATGACAACTTTACTACCTCATCATAGTGGCCATTTTTCAGATTGAACATATTCATATTATGCAAAATTTCCCTTTTCCCAGACTATTATTAAACAACGCAATTAACATGTTTACAAAATACCATGGTTTAGTTCAAGGTTCTTGCAGCATGAAACTATTTTCATCGACAACATGTCTTCAGCGGGTCTCTGCGCCATTTGGTTGTAGTTGGCGTGGCACCCCTTTTGTTTTGCCATGGTGACCAAATGCTTCATAACATGCTCATGTCAACATTTTCTTAAAATGGCATAAAACTTGCATATGTCATCCGCATCATGATAACAACATTTAAAATGTTTTAAATTGTTGTTTTCTTTAAATTGCTAACATATGGGGATTTTCTGGAATTGTTGTTTGTTATTTCCGGCCTCATTTAAATTTCCTAGCTACGTAGTTTTATTATGCTTCACCTCTTGCCATGTTTAACAACATTTAATATTGTTGAGTATCTTAAATGAGATGAACTAAATAATTTTTGTGAAGTTTCGTCAATATGCAACCTCGTTGCATATTGAGCTCCACTTAACTTGTAGTGTGGTTTGTTGCACTTTGCCATGCCATGCCTCATTAAAATGGACATGCATCATACTTGATTATGCATCATGCCATGTTTATGCTTGTTAGTTTACCATGTTGTTTGCTTGTTTCCGGTGTTGCTTCTTTTTGATAGTTCCAGTAACATTGCGATTGTGAGGATTCGTTCGACTACGCCCGTTCGTCTTCTTCATGGACTCGTTCTTCTTCCTAGCGGGATTTTAGGCAAGATGACCGTTACCCTGGATCTCACTACTATCATTGCTATGTTAGTTGCTTCGTTCTAACGCTATGATGCGCTACCTATCGCTTGCTTATCAAGCCTCCCAAATTGCCATGTCAGCCTCTAACCTTTTCACCCTTCCCAGCAAACCATTGTTTGGCTATGTTATCGCTTTTGCTCAGCCCCTCTTATAGCGTTGTTAGTTGCAGGTGAAGTTGAAGATTGCTCCATGTTGGGACAATAATATTTTGGGATATCACAATATCTCTTATTTAATTAATGCATCTATATACTTGGTAAAGGATGGAAGGCTCGGCCTTATGCCTGGTGTTTTGTTCCACTCTTGCCACCCTAGTTTCCGTCATACCGATGTTATGTTCCTTGATTTTGCGTCCCAAACATGGTGTGGGTTTATGGGCCCCTCTTGACAGTTCGCTTTGAATAAAACTCTTTCAGCAAGGCCCAACATTGGTTTTAACATTTGCCATGATAATATTTGAACTAAATAATTAATTGGCATAGGGCGTCATGAACCCGAGGATTCTTTTGTACAAGCAGGGAGGGGCCAGTGCTGATGGTGTTAGTCCCAAACTAGAGCACTATGCGGGGCCGCCCCAGGGCAACCTGAGTTATTTTGGCACCTGTACTCGTAGCTCATCCATCGTGGCCTGAGACGAGATATGTGCGGCTACTATCAGGGTGTCGGCATGTCGGGAGGTTTTGCTGGATTAGTTTTACCATTATCGAAATGTCTTGTGCACCGGGACCCCGAGTCTGATCGGATGTCCCGCGATGGAGGATTGTCTCCGCGGATCGTGAGCTTGTCATGGGCTAAGTTGGGACACCCCTGCATGGTTTAAATTTGGAAAGCCATGCCCGCGGTTATGTGGCAGATGGGAGTTTGTTAATATCCGGTTGTAGAGAACTTGACACCAGATTCGAATTAAAATACACCAACCGCGTGTGTAACCGTGATGGTCTCTTTTCGAGTTAGTCGAGAAGAAAACATGGTGGGGTTATGTTTGAACGTAAGTAGTTCAGGATGACTTCTTGATCATTACTAGTTTGCGACCGTTTGCCTAGCTTCTCATCTTATTCTTGTACTCATAAGTTAGCCACCATATCATGCTTAGTCGCTTGCTGCAGCCTCACCACTTATCCATTCCATACCCATTAAGCTTTGCTAGTCTTGATACCCATGGTTATGGGATTGCTGAGTCCTCGTGGCTCACGGATTACTACAACAAAAGTTGCAGGTACATGTAATGCGATGATCATGACATGAGAGTGATGCTTGCTTGTTTTGAGTTCTTCTTCTGCTTTGTCATTCAGGGGATAGGATCCTGGTCGACAGCCTAGACTAGCAAGGTGGATGTCTATTGAGTTTCTGTTTGTGTTTTATCCATAGTCGGATGTTGCTCTTATGTATGATGTTGTTGTATTCATGTGGCATTGTATGCTCTTTGTATGTATCCTCAACTATTATGTAATGGTACGATGTAATGATATCCACCTTGCAAAAGCGTCTCCAATATGCGCTTCTATCCTTGGTGGGACCTTCGAGTTCCTTTAGGATAGGGTCGCATATTGGGTGTGACAGTTGTTGACAAACCTGTTGAAATGGTCGCAAGGCTCTCTGGCCATGCATTAGTGGTAGATGAGGACATGATGGCGCACACACAACTAGGCGATGGCAACCTTCTGATCTATGTTGGGACTACTTGCAGTGTACTGGAGGTCGATGCCGACCACCTTGTACTTGTCTCCAGCAAGCAACTGCTCAACGGTGTTGATGTAGTCGTCTACCACGGCCGGGTCGATGGTGTACACCACCTAGAGATCCGTCTCCCTCGTGTGGGTCTCCACTTTATGCTCGCCGAACTCCATTGGAGCGCCGCTAGACATCCCCTCTCTATGTGTCATCGTTGGTGTGCTTGTTGTGTTGTGGGGCGCGATCGAAAGGGTGAAGAGACTAAGGTTATAATGGCTGCGGGAATTAAAGGGGAGGCCGGAAGGCACGTCCTGATGGTAGTTCTAATTCCCAGCGCGTTACTCCATCGTGCCGCACGTAACTGCATCGCGTGGCAACGCGCGCAACGCAACCGCAAGCATATGGGGCCCTGATGTGATCGTCCGCAGGCCCATCCACTGGCAGAGCACGCGCGGAGGGACGCGAGCAGAGCGCTCCGTGGTCGCCTCAATGGCAAGCAACCATATATATGCATATAGTAGTTGAACACGCAAGGAAAAGCTGTCCACAAGCCTAGCGCGCCGATGGACGCAAGCAGAGTGCGCCACGGCGCCTAACGGCGAGCAGAGCGCACCGCGACGCCTAACAGCTGAACTGTTTTTATAAGTTAAGCACGACTGCTTAATCTATGAATGAAATTTATGCTTAATTACTGAATTTTAGTTGCAAAAATTAGATAGTGCTAGTGATTTTTAGCTACATATTTTGACAAATCACCATTGGAACTGCTGGATGTCCTCTCTATATGTGTCATCGTGGGTGTGCTTATTGTGTCATGCGCCGGCCCCAAACACTGGCAACACAACTTATAAATTGACGAATGGAGTACGAGTTACAGTGATGCATATAATTAAGCAAAGGGATCACACATGTCTATATTGACTGGAACGAGAATGTAATAGCACAATAATAATTAAGGAGGCAAGAAGAAAGATGCATCCATCAACGTACGACCTCCTCCTCCTCAATTCAGTGCGCTGGGCCACCGACTGGCGGCTAAGGAGCGGCGGCTTTTGTGGCGAGGTCAAGGTGCTTCTCAGCAAAGGCATGCAAGGCTTCCAGCCGGTTGAAGAAGGCCAACATCATAGCATCCTCACTGGCCTTGTAGATACCTATGTACACGATTTGCTTGTACACATGTATGTGTAGGTCGACGAATTCTTGCAGGGCGAGGCACCTCGCGGCAAGCGCGACCTCTAGGTGGACATTCTTCGTGGCGTCGGTGGGTAGTCGCAGGGCCACCAATGCTTGAAAGAGGTTCCGACC